CATTCAGATTTCACTCCATTAATGGTAACTCTCTGCTTTCTATTGGTAAGCCATGCCTCAATCCATGCTAGAACTTTACCTCCTATACCATGAGCTGCCACTTTTCTTAAGAGTCTCTTGTGAGGTACTCTGTCGAAGGCTTTACTAAAATCCAAATAAACAATATCATATTCCTTATCACTGTCAACTGCCTCAAATGTTCTATTGAAGAACGTCAATAAGTTTGTCAGGCAGGAACGACCTCTCGTGAATCCATGCTGAGATTCATTTATCAAGTTATGCTCTTCAAGGTGACTTCTGATAATGTCAGCTATAATTGATTCTAATAACTTGCCCACTATAGATGTCAGGCTTATTGGACGGTAATTTGAAGGAGTGGACTTATCCCCTGATTTGAATATAGGAACCACATTAGCCATCTTCCACATCTCTGGCACAACACTGGTAAGGATGGACGCATTGAATACACTCGTTAATGGCTGACTAAGCTCCATCTTGCATTCCTTAAGTACCCTTGAAAACAACTCATCGGGTCCCGGGGACTTATTTTGTTTCAGTTTGTCTATCTGTTTAATAACCATGTCCCTCGTGACAGTAATATTAGTTAACTTAAATTCATCAGGAACTAAATAATTGTTAATTACTGGAATCTATTTACATCTTCCTGTGTAAAAACTGACAAAAAATAGTCATTAAATAAGGAACACATTTCCAGTTCATTATCCGTCAGCTGTCCATTCCCAGATTTCAGAGGTCCTACTTTTTCCTTCACCTTCGTCCTATACACTTGAAAGAACCCCTTTGGGTTAGTCTTTGATTCATTAGCAACTCTAATTTCATAGTCACGTTTAGCCTTTCTAATCGCCTTTTTTATTTCTCTTTTAAGCTGAACATATTGGTCAGTAAGGTTAACCTCTCCTCTTCTGATGCGCCTATAAATTCCCCTTTTCCCCCCCTAATAGATGCTTTAGCCTCCTGTTAACCCATTTGGGATCGTTATTATTAGACCTAATTTCTCTCTGGGGAATGTATATACTCTGGGCACTGTGTACATTATTAAGAAAACAATCATAAAAGCAGATCCCTTCATATTCATAAGTATGATTATCGTCAATAAAATCATTAGCTAGATAACCCCAATCAAGATTAGACAGATGTTCCCTAAGTCCATTATAATCGGCAGAACGAAAATCGGGGATTTTTACTGTATTATCATTATTCTTGCATTCCTAATTAATGCTAAAGGTGATGGATTTGTGATCACTTGCGCCAAGCTCTTCAGCAATCTCCAGACTATTCACGAGTGCTTCCTTATTTGACAAGACTAGGTCTAGCAAATTATTACCCGTGGTAGGTTCAGTTACACTCTGTTTCAGAAAACAGTCCTGAACTGTTTCCATGAAGTCACTGGACTCTAGATTACCTGTCAAAGAATTCCAGTCAATTTGGCTAAAGTTAAAGTCCCCTACTATGACTACGTTACTGTGTCCAGAAGCCCTAACAATTTCGTCCCAAAGAAGTCTCCCTCTATCGTGATCCAAGCCTGGAGGTCGGTATATTACACCTAGAATTAGCTTTTCTTGACCCTCCACGAACTCTACCCAAACAGACTCTGTTACTGCTCCATCTATTTTTATACCTGTTTTTATGCAACAATTAATATTTTCTCGAACATACAATGCAACTCCTCCCCCCTTCCCACCACATCTATCCACATTGAACAACTTAAATCCCTGATTACACTCAGCAGTCATATCCCGACTCTTTAAGTCATACCACGTTTTGTTTAATTGTATTCGAAACGGCGATCAGTGCTGATAAGAGGCACTTGCGTCTGCGGAAATTAGTTTCTTTGATCATTAATTGGGCGTCCCTGAATTTCATGAGATGATTGGTGAAATTTCGGTGTTGTACACAGGCGTTGTTCGTTATCGTTCCTACATGCGTAAATGTGTTCATTGAGGCGGGTGTCGAGGTTTCTTGCTGTTTCACCTACATAAATCTTGTCGCAGCCTCCACAGGGTATAGTGTAAACCCCTGCATTGACTGGTTTGTGGTGCTTTGATTTTGTCCTGGTTAGATCCTTTATTGAAGTGCTAGAAGCGATGGCGACTCTGGTGTTAGCTTGTGAAAGTACTTTAGAAACGTTCAGTGCAACCTGGCTGTTGGGAAGAATTATAACTTTGTTGGGAGTGGTGTTGATGCGTGGAGAATTAATGATCTGAAGAGCTATTTTCTTGCATTCTTTGATGAAAAGGGACGGAAAATGTAACTCAGTGAATGTTTGTTGAATGTATGTACACTCCTCGTCAAGAAACTCAGGACTACAAATTCGGTATGCTCTTAGGAAAAACCCGATGATGATGCCTCTTTTGGTCTTGGTATCTTGACTGGAATAGAAGTGTGTGAGATCATTTTTATTGGTAGGTTTCCGATAGACTTGAAATCTTAGGTTGTTGTCTTTGTGAATGAGGACGTCGAGGAAAGGTAGCTTGTCATTGGACTCTTCTTCTAGTGTAAACTGGATCGCCGGTTCAACTGCGTTGAGCCTTGCCTGAAGATTCCGTACATCAAAACGTTTGGGAGTTATTACGAGGACGTCGTCCACATAACGTAACCAAGTGACGCTTGAAGGGATGATGTAGGCGAAGTGTTCGGACTCTAGGTGTTCGATGTATAAGTTGGCTAGGACGGCACTGATGGGGGACCCCATTCCCATGCCGTAGGTTTGTTTGTAGAGCTTGTTATTGAAAGAAAAACAGTTGAAATTAACACAGAGTTCAATCAAGTTAACAAAATCTCCGGGAGGTAGAGGAAGATTAAGGTCCTGATTGACTTAACGTCGTAGAACCTCGATGGCTTTTGTGGTAGGTACTTTTGTGAAGAGCGAAGTCACGTCCAAACTGCTTAGTTTCTTGTTACGGATGGAGAGGTTACGGATGCGGTTGAGAAGGTCACGACCTTCTCAACCTTCACTGAGTTACATTTTCCTTCCTTTTTCATCAAAGACTGCAAGAAAATAGCTCTTCAGATCATTAATTCTCCACGCACCAACACAACTCCCAACAAAGTTATAATTCTTCCCAACAGCCAGGTTGCACTGAACGTTTCTAAAGTACTTTCACAAGCTAACACCAAAGTCGCCATCGCTTCTAGCACTTCAATAAAGGATCTAACCAGGACAAAATCAAAGCACCACGAACCAGTCAATGCAGGAGTTTACACTATACCCTGTGGAGGCTGTGACAAGATTTATGTAGGTGAAACAGCAAGAAACCTCGACACCCGCCTCAATGAACACATTTACGCATGTAGGAACGATAACTTGAACAACGCCTGTGTACAACACCGAAATTTCACCAATCATCTCATGAAATTCAGGGACGCCCGATTAGTGATCAAAGAAACTAATTTCCGCAGACGCAAGTGCCTCGAATCAGCACTGATCGCTGTTTCGAATACAATTAAACAAAACAACGGCAGCTTCACCATCTCCGAAGTCTTAGCGAAAATCCTCCTGAAAACAGTAAACCCTGCCATCACTTAGTCTCTCCTGTTATACTACACAAAGCACATTACAGAGAGTGAACACTGAAACAACCTGCCTCTATCCAGTCTATATTTGTCCAACCTATTTTTATGTTACCCAAGTAATAGCTTTTATATCCTTTTACTCATGTACGAATTAATTGCTCTACCATATTGTATTACTACTACAACTTTTGTCACTACTACTACTACTACTACTACTACCACCACTAGTGAACATCGAAATGGTACCTCACTCTGAGCCTTTATATACCCTCTGTGTCCATATACTGTTTGTATCGGCTTGACAAAGCTCCTGGAGACCGAAACGTTGCCACAACAAAATGTCACATTAGTTGCACTTGTGTCCTTTTACTTTACATATTGTCGGTAATTCTACCAACATTATTACAGTCTGGCATCTTGTTAAATTAGACACATGTGCAACACTTGGGTATCTTTATTGAGGAAACGTTTCGCCACACTGGCTTCATCAGTCCATACAAAGGAGAATTGTGAAGAACAGGAGTTTGAGTTAATCAGTCCCTCAGCCTTGAGTCGATGCAATCAGTCCATCATTCCTGAAAAGAATACAGCATATATGCGAAGAAGTGGCTTATGTACTGTAGACTTACATACTTATACACTATGGACTGATGAAGCCACTGTGTGGCGATATGTTTCCACAATAAAGATACCCAAGTGTTGCACATGCGTCTAATTTATCAACTTGTCAGTTCTCTGAACCATTTATCTACATCTGGCATCTTCCCCAAACTTAATAACCTTATATTTGATGGGATTGAATTCAAGCAACCATTTATCTGATCTATTTGTATTCTCATTGGTTTTTACACCAACGAACTGAGGTACATCTGACTCGACTCACGACATTGTAATGCCAGGATTGCAAACTAACCATACCATGGACGGGGATAGAACCCGCGATCAGAGAGTCATAAAACTTGGTCTGGAGTTTTATGATTCTCTCTCTTATCCCTGGTTCTGTCCCCGCCCGTGGTATGGTTTACATCTGACTCATTTCCATCTGTTATGTGAGTCACACCACTTGTTACTCGTACCCATTCTGACATCGCTGTCTGAACAGTCCATCTTTGCTTCCGGAGAACGTTAAAAATTATTCCAGCTTCTCAAGTTCTGTCCCAGTCCTGTGTGTGGTACAGTATCATATTGCTTCTTGGGGTCTAACTAAAAACAATCTCTCTCCTGCCTCACTTACATTACTGGTTGCTGTTTAAGAAACCAATTCTTAGCAAGTGCGTTACCACTCTGTTTATTTGCTCCATTACCTTACACGGTACACACATCACCGAAACCGACCTGTTTGTTTGTGTGTGTGTGTGTGTGTGTGTGTGTGTGTGTGTGTGTGTGTGTGTGTGTGTGTGTGTGTGTGTGTGTGTGTGTGTGTGTGTGTTGGCAAGTATAAAGCGAGGATCAACAGTGCAGTTATCATCACTGCGACATCAACACATCTCGGGGGAGGTCACCATGGCAACATTTAGGTGCGTGCAGCTTCTGGTGTTGGCTGTTACAGCGGCTGCTCAATCAACACAAGTTTTACAGGAATTATCCAACACCCTCCTCCTCAACCAGCTGGCAATATCTAATGTGCTAGCAGAGAGAGACTCAGGCGTCAGAGGTAAGAATAACAACAGTAGTGTGATGATGGTAATGTGCTAGCAGAGAGAGACTCAGGCATCAGAGGTAAGAACAACAACAGTAGTGTGATGATGGTAATGTGCTAGCAGAGAGAGACTCAGGCATCAGAGGTAAGAACAACAACAGTAGTGTGATGATGGTAATGTGCTAGCAGAGAGAGACTCAGGCGTCAGAGGTAAGAATAACAACAGTAGTGTGATGATGGTAATGTGCTAGCAGAGAGAGACTCAGGCGTCAGAGGTAAGAATAACAACAGTAGTGTGATGATGGTAATGTGCTAGCAGAGAGGAGACTCAGGCGTCAGAGGTAAGAATAACAACAGTAGTGTGATGATGGTAATGTGCTAGCAGAGAGAGACTCAGGCGTCAGAGGTAAGAATAACAACAGTAGTGTGATGATGGTAATGTGCTAGCAGAGAGAGACTCAGGCGTCAGAGGTAAGAACAACAACAGTAGTGTGATGATGGTAATGTGCTAGCAGAGAGAGACTCAGGCGTCAGAGGTAAGAACAACAACAGTAGTGTGATGATGGTAATGTGCTAGCAGAGAGAGACTCAGGCGTCAGAGGTAAGAACAACAACAGTAGTGTGATGATGGTAATGTGCTAGCAGAGAGAGACTCAGGCGTCAGAGGTAAGAACAACAACATGTAGTGTGATGATGGTAATGTGCTAGCAGAGAGAGACTCAGGCATCAGAGGTAAGAACAACAACAGTAGTGTGATGATGGTAATGTGCTAGCAGAGAGAGACTCAGGCGTCAGAGGTAAGAATAACAACAGTAGTGTGATGATGGTAATGTGCTAGCAGAGAGAGACTCAGGCGTCAGAGGTAAGAATAACAACAGTAGTGTGATGCTGTAGAGTACAATTGAAGATGGAGTCGTGGCTTACTAGAGGAGCCACACCTCGTGGTTATAGTATTTTTATGTAGCAGTAATTTGAGTTTTGTTGGCAGGTTTTGTGTTCGAGATTAATTACACTTATGTAATCTCCAGCTTCATTTATTATGTCTTACTCTTAACTTGTCGTTGGGTAACATAAATTATCTGTATATTTGTGTACAAAAACAGAAAGTTTTAATTCTCAGATATTATAATAATAATAATAATAATAATAATAATAATAATAATAATAATTAATAATAATAATAATAATAATAGTTTATTAGGACATGATACATAGTTGTACAAAGTATTATAGTAGTTGGGTGTACATGTCAAAAACCCCTTGTATGCAGAGCATTATAGACAGGCTTAAAATTAACTTAAGACTATATAAGCTATAATAGAGTTGCAATGGTAACAGTTACAGTAAACAATTTACAATATCAAGTACAATTGAATATTTTAAACAATGAAATTTGAGCATTTCAGTTTTGAATCATTATAGTTTTATAATTTTGTAATATTACTGTGAATAATATAACAAAATGATCAGTTTAATATATGTAGTCGTACAATTTAATAATCAAATCAAATCAATGATCTGTAGTGTAGTAACAGGTCATATGGTCATTAGATGAGTTACATTGTATTCATGAGAATGGATTATTCTATTAGGTAATGCTATAAAAACATAGTTTGGTAAGGTTTCTCTAATTATACAACTGGGTTATGCATTTGTGAAATATAAGTTATTCAATATTTGCATTAGATTAGATATGAGAATTTATTGATCTTTCAGCATTTAATTATGGGGTCCTAAGGCTAGGGAAGTAACACAGTGAGTAATGATGTTTTGAGGCAGTAGAAAGTGATTTGTTAACTGTGTAGGTAAAGTTAAATTAAATACTGTGTAATTAGTTTTGGGTGAGTAAACGGTTTTTATGAAGAGTCTTGAATTAATATACAGAGAGTGTTTCTTTGGTAATCACTGGTAATGAATTCCAAATTTTTGGGCCTTTTATGTGCATTGAGTTTTTACATAGTGTGAGATGGACACGGGGAACATCTGTGCCTTGTGTTATGGTCATGTGTTCTGTTGAGGCTGGTAAAGAGAAGTATGAATGGAGGGTTTATGTCTGATTTTGTTCTATATATGTAGTAGGCATTTTAATAAGTATAAGTATGGATGTCTTATACGTTGAGTAAGGTTAGAGCTTTGAATATTGGTGGAGTATGCTGCCTAGAATGGGAATTTATTATCATTCTGACTGCAGCCTTTTGCTGGGTAATTAGTGGTCTGATATGATTGATTGTTGTTGAGCCCCATGCACAGGCGAGATAGGGGTAAATGAGTGAGTGATATAGTGCAAGGAGAGCTGATTGTGGAACATAGTACCGTATCTTTTCTTGGAAATTTGTTGTACATGTGTCTGAAATTTGAGGCTATTATCAAGGTGGATTTCTAAGAACTTTCCCTCTGTGAGTTTCGTGATAGGTGATCCGTTTATCATTATGATAAAAGGATCATCTGTAGTTCTGTTCCCAAAATAAATGAAGTAGGTTTTGTCAATAATGAGAGTAAACTTGTTAATCGTCATCCAGGTTGATATTTTCTGTGATTCGGTATTTACAGTATTGGCTAGCATAACTGGGCTCGGGTGAGAGAAGACGTATGTAGTGTCATCTGCAAACAGTGTAGGTTTGAGTAGTTGCGATGCATTTGGTAGGTCGTTTATGTAAATGAGAAAGAGAAGAGGGCCAAGGACACTTCCCTGTGGGACACCAACTGTAATTGGCTGTGTGGAAGAGTTTACTACATTTGTGTACACATATTGGCTTCTGTTGCTGAGGTAAGACTTAAGGTAGTTGAGGGAGTGCTCTCTTATACCATAGTGTGATAATTTTACGTGGAGCAAGTCATGATCAACTGCATCAAAAACTTTACGTAAATCAATGGAGATCTCCAATGGGACTTTTTTTTCTCTAGTGCAGTGTATATTTGTTCTAGCATGTGTATAATAGCATCATTCGTGTTTTTTATTAGGCCTGAACCCAAACTGACAGGGGTTGAGTATGTTGGGGGAGATGAGGTAGGAATAGATTCGCTTATGAATTAATTTTTCAAAGATTTTAGAGAGAAGGAATAATCCTCATAACATTACACACGATGCAGGTTAGTGACACTCACTTGTAATTTAATGCCAAATATTGGTCCCCTTTTTAAATATTGTGACTACATTCTCAGTTTTCCAGACCTGTGTCAGTCGATGTGTGTGTATGTGTGTGTGTGTGTGTCTGTATGTATGTGTGTATGCTCCCCTAGTGTGGTTGCAGGGGTCGACTCACCGCTCCTGGCCCCGCCTCTTCATTGGTCGCTACTACGTCACACTTCCTGCCCCATGAGGTTTATCATACTACTTCTGATCCTACCTCCACTACATCACTTCCCAGACTATTCCACTTCCTGACAACTAGTTTCCTTACGTGCTTGGCTAGGTGTGGGTTCCAAACTGGTGCCGCATACTCCAATATGGGCCTAACATACACAGTGCACAGGTTCCTGAAAGATTCCTTATTAAGTTGTCAGAATGCTGTTCTGAGGTTTGCCAGGCGCCTGTATGCTGCAGCAGTTATTTGGTTGATGTACTCCTCAGGAGATGTGCCTGGTGTTATACTCACCCCAAGATTCTTATCCTTGAGTGAGGTTTGTAATCTCTGTCCTCCTAGACTGTACTCCGTTGGCGGTCTTCTTTGCCCCTCACAAATCTTCATGACTTTGCACTTGGTGGGATTGAACTCCAGAAGCCAGTTGCTGGAGCAGGCCTAGAGCCTGTTCAGATCCTTTTGTAATCTGCCTGGTCCTAGTCCGATTAAATACTTCTCATCAACTTCACATCATCTGCAAACAGGGACTCGCCGTCGTCTTCTTGACAGGTATTCCCTGATCTATTGTAGTGCCTTCCATGTTATCCCTGCTTGGTCCTCCAGGTTTTGCACTAATCTCTTGAGTGTATGGAACTGTGTCAAACACCTTCTTACAGTCCAAGAAAATGCAATCTACCCACCCCTCTCTCTCTCTTGTCTTACTGCTGTCACCCTGTCATAGAACTCCAGTAGGTTTGTGACACAGGATTTCCCGTCCCTGAACCCGTGCTGGCTGTCGTTGATAAGCTCGTTTATCTCTAGGTGCCCCAACACTCTTCTCCTGATAATCTTTTCAATGACTTAGCATATTATGCATGCCAGTGACATTGGTCGGTAGTTTAATGTTGCGTGTCTGTCTCCTTTCTTAAAAATTGGGAGTGCATTTACTGTCTTCCACACCTCAGGTAGTCGTCCTGTTTCGATAGATGCTCCTTCTCCCAGGACCCACAGAGAGATGCTTTCCGGTCCCACCACCTTCGAGGCATCTAGTTTATTTAGCAATCTCTTCATCTCCTCCTTGGTTGTGTGTATTGCATCCAGCAGCAGTTGGTGTACCCCACAATTCCGGCTTTCTGAAGTCTTTTCTGTTTTCACTGAAAATATTCTTTGGATCTCATATTGAGTTCCTCACATATTTCTAGGTCGTTTCTTGTAAACTCCCCATCTTCCTTCCTCAGCCTGATTACCTGGTCCTCCTGATGTGGCTGCACAACAGCTTCGGCTCAGACTTGACTTTCGATGCTATGTCGTTTTCGTATTGCTGCTGTACCTCCCTCCTTATCTGTGCATATTCGTTTCTGGCTCTTCGACTAATCTCTTTATTTTTCCATTCTCTAGCGCACTTAGTTTTGGCTTCTGCGCCTTCGGGTGAACCAAGGGCTCGTTCTGTTCTTCCCCATTATTTCTGTTGCCCTTAGGAGCGAACCTCTCCTCTTCTTTGCATTTTGTTGTCACTTTTTCCATCATTTTATTTACTGTTTTTTCCCGCCAGTTCCCTTTTCCAATGTACCTCATACAGGAAATTCTTCATGCCTGTGTAGTCCCCTCTTTTGTAATTTGGCTTCTACCATCCTACTCTTGCTGCTCGCTCTCCAATTTTAACTTTACAATGTAGGTATTCGAAGCTGAGGACCACGTGGACACTACGTCCGAGGAGACTTTCGTATGTGATGT